AAATCAATTTTTTTAGCACCAATAAATTACTCGTCGAATCGTCTAAATCGGGAAAAATTTAGATATTAATCAAACACTAATTTTCTTTTTGTTGCTTTTGATGACATAAATTTTAGTTTTTGATATTTTTTTTAGATGTGATTTCATTATTAATATTAAGGTTACCTTTGACAAAAACAAACAAGTCGGCCGGAAACTTAGTTCAAAATCTCAAAACCTTTAAAATCTCGTTAATATAACTCGTCTCGCGCGATTACCGCTGTCAATAAAGAAAGTCCTTATTAGAACTGTAGGAGGCTGCATCGATATCCTGGAAAAACAATGGTGGCTGATATGTGTCATTTCGTTATTCGTTTGTTCTCCGCGGAAGATAATAATTTTACATTATAAAATGTCGTTATTTCGGGGGTTTTCGCGGCAAAATAACGACATCTTATTTTACTCTCCATAGTGTCGTTGATTCCTTAGGCAAAAATACGTCGAGCAAAAAGGCAAAATACATGTAATTATGCAGTAAGCATTGACCTACAAAAGTTATTTCGTGGTTCAAGTATAGTATTTTATCGTTATTTTGTCATTTCGTAGCGGAAATAATATCGAGAAGTTCTTAGTCCGCTATGAAATAACGACAATGGAATCTTATTTGGCGGTAAATTAATAGCTAGAACCTATTTTTTCTCGGGAAATGAATAAAAAATGATATTTTATAAATAAAAATCACTGTGTTTAGCGACGAAAAAATAATAATCAAAAAACCGAAATAACGCAATGTCAATTATAAGCCACCATAGACTTATACACAGTTCGCCACCTGTCTGCTGCGTCAGCCAAGCGATTATCTGTGTGTGTTGTATCACGCTGTGCTCTTGTGGATGCCAATTGAGATTTAGAGCCGCAGTATCATGTAATAACACATTTGATAACCCGCACAACGAAAGATTATTGGGATTTCAAAAGTGTATCGCGATAATTTCCGTATGGTTTCGTGTTTACATAGGCGCCGTACCACAATTACTATACTATAAGATCGAATGCACATCGCTAACCGGATGTTGTGACTAGCGAGGCATAACATGTCGGTGTATTCTAAATAAGAAAACAGTCAAAAAAGTATACGGAATTAGACACGACTGGATTTCCAACTTATTTTTTATATTTATTGAAATGGTGTTTTTAAGTCTTATGATTTTACATGTAAACCCAACTATCAAACAAAACACAGAGATTCACAAATGAAACACAGCGCCAAAACTGTAACGATATAATTAGTTATCTGCCCTTGTCTCTGTTGCCTGTGAACACTATATCACATAACATATCTTGTTTTATTTAAAACAACCAACATGCACGCTTTAATACAGTGAAAATAGCTGCACTGTGCAGTAAATATACTCTTAGTAATCACTATCGTAGCATGAAGGATCAACACCAACTTACGTAATGATCGTCCAAGCGTTATCGACAAGAGTGCAAACGGGCCCAACAACCAATGTATGTAGCATGCATTGTCTGTGCTGTACAAGCTCTTACCGATAATCAAGATATTAGGTGTGGTTTTCATTAACAACTAACTGAATTACGATCTTCATTTAATCAAATACAGCTCCGCATCAAGGTCATTTCCATCATCAAGGTCACGGCTGACCTGATTAGCGTATACTGAGTGTATAATTAGCAGAATATCGGATTGCTTTAAAGCATTTATTGAGTGTTACTCTCATCAATTGTCCGACAGATCTAAAGGTAGGAACAACCGTGAGCAGTTTTTGTAGTTTAGGGATTTCGATAACAGAAATCAAAAATCTAAGTCATCGGATGCTGCTTATGGAAATGAAAGTTTAATTTGGCTTATAAAGCAATTAGCGCTTATAACAGTGTTGATCGAAGTGGTTAAAAGCAATAAACAAGCTTCAAGGGCGATAACACAGTCTCAAGGGCGATAACCTTTACCACCTACAACACAGACGCTTTTTTTCGGATGAATCTTTCGATTTTTTATACAACATTCAATACTGCCACTAATATATTACAGAATGTATAAATAAACACAGGCGTGCGCTTAACGGGAATTTGTGCTAGAGTAAGCTCTTTTTATGTTTTCTTTTTCAAAATATAAATATTGTCGGAACTTCAATGCATTTAGGATAATTAACGTTTTGGTGCATAATCTCTTGTAAAGATAACATGACAGGCGTTATATTTTCTTAATTTGAGTAATTACTTTAAAGAATGATAAATATAATATAGCATTATTCCGTGTATTTTAAAGACGGCATTGTATTACATTAGAAAAGTTGAGTTCTAGTGGTGATGTGTACATTCAAACCTACTCTAGTGACCTTCTGTATAAAGCAAGTTTATGTCTTGTACGACTTTTCCCCTCTCCACACGTGTCCGAAATCTATTTACCTAAAAGTGACGATTTCAATTTTTGATCGGTAATTTTCCCTTCCTTGATAGTAACATCCGCGCTTCCCTATTTACACTGTTCGCATGTCTTTGTTGATTCGATATCCACGGTCTTGCTTCAAATAAAGTGATGTCCGATATGTTTTTCAAAAGCTGATGGACAAACTTACAACAAACTGTTTTGAGTGATACAGATTGATGAAGAATAAGTGTTACATGTACAGTAACCAGCATGCTCCAAAAGGGACATACGTCCTATCGAACATCTCAAATACCTATAAATGAATCGTGCGTTCGATAATTTGATACATGTAACCTATGAAAAAACTGCCAAGAATCCAATAGTAGAATCATATACTAAGTAGTTAGAATAAATATCCACCTAAAAACTCAAATTACAAATATTTCAAAAAATAAATTTGTCACAAATGTTTTGAATTCTTCGTTAACATAAATACCCATTGATGGTAAATTTGATATGAGCAATATTTCCACATTCATTAAAATTCAGAACATAATACGCACGTCTTGAGATTCAAAATATTCCACTCTAGACAATATTTGAAGCTTTAATCACTGTCAAGAATATGATATTTTCACTGAAGATACATTAACCATTATGCTAATAAACCTGGCTACATGGACATTGTAAAACCTGATCATGAACGAAAACCAAATTGCAAACTCTGCGTATGTAAGGCACGTGCGTGGTGGTGTTTAAAATCCTTCATTCGGATTGTGTGCGCTTGGTATTAAAATCATTTGAAAATACTTTAATATATCATTTTTGTTGCTGAAGTCATATTGATTTACAATTATTTAGCGACATATACATTAAAATAACAATGTGCATTCATTTTCCATTAAATCTCCCTAAAAATGAAAATGACACTATCAGCAAGTTACGTGCAATAGCAAATGGGCGTTACAGAGCTCTCCTGAAAGTAAACGGTGCCGAACTATTTTGCTGTCGTGATTTGTGCTACCTCTGGGAGTACGAACCCTAACCATACGTAAACAGTAACGAGTTTATATTTTCACTGACAGTACAGATAAGAATGAAGTTTATCGGTGTGTTATTTGCGCAAGGGAATTTGATTTTTTGTCAGTAACAGATGTAAAAAATATCTTGGTAATTCAATGTTTCTGAAACGGAAGCAAAATTGAGAATAACGCCACGCATCAAGAGGAGGCATGTGAAATGGCAGCACATTGGTTTTGAATTAATTGCTTCCTTTCTCAGTCAAACCCGTATGACAATAATATTATACCATCCTATACGCAATTGATACATTTTTTCCACCAGGTAAAGTATGCTTAGTAATCATTCGATTTTTAATCATAATGTATAAACGTACATGTTAGTTAAAGTATTAAAGACCAAGCTTTTTTGTCTTTGCACTGAATATCGTAAACATATTTTACAAATCCGCTGCAAATCCGCTAATAAACACTTCTAGATACAATGCGTATGAATGCAATCAGTGTCAATTCCTATGCCGCCGAGAAAGGTCACTGATGTCGTTTGTAAAGACGACACGCACACTGTAATACCTCAGCTGTTCATTTTCGAAAGCCTTATATTTAGAAAGTTGATAACTATCAATTAAGTATGTAGATGTATGTAAATATACGTAAAAGTATGTAAATATATCTACCAAGATCTTAAAGTGGGCTTCATGGAATAATGGTTTGGACGCTGAAAAAAGATACTGCAGTATATATATTGTACTTTTACTTATACAAGGCTCAACGACAAAGAAACAAAAAAAGTGAGACTGTGTAAGGTTTCCTTTCTACTTATCGCAAATGGAAATTCAAGCAGACTTCATAGGTCAAGCTCTAGTACATGTAAATCTTGGTTAAAAGCGGAAATTGCAATCCGACGCTGCACCTATGATTTTGTACAGGTCGATTTAAAGCTTTAATCCGCTCTGTTTATTTAGAAACACATTTTGTAACGTAGACTTGACCTCTCTGTACGCATATCACCTGCACCGCTAGGTAACATTGCGTTGAAACCCATATCCAATAGCAGTTTAACAATTTGTGTCTGTAAATCAGAATGATTAATTTCAAATAGGAAACAAGAATACATTGTAAATTCAACATTCGTGTTTTTCACAAAACAAGCTTTCAAACTTTTAATTTAACTGGCGTCGACAAAAACAAAACAAAATACCAAATAAACAAGGTGTAGCTATTGGGGTCGGTTCATGTGCAAAATGAAGTGTTTGCATCAGATTACAAACGGCTGCATACCGCTTGAAGTAAAATAAATGTGATTTAATTCAAATGTATATGTACGGACATGTATATATAAACGATGATCACTTGTGTAAAAAAATGTAAATATTTGAAGTGCATTTTTGCATTTGAATTAATTTTTTACTTTTCTTTTTCTATAAGAAAGTACAAATAATTAAAGTGCATTTTTGCCTCTGAATTTTTAGTTTGTTTTTGAGGTTTTCTGATTCAGTATGATAACGTACATACAGTTCAAGTGCAATTTTCCCACATCAGTTTTGGTTTTCTGTAGGATTTCTGACTCAGTGATAGAAAGTAAAATTAATTAAAAGTAAGTTTTTTACCTCTGAATTCTTTAGATTTTCTGGAGATTGTACAAAAAATGAGTCCATAGGCCGCTATCATGATGCCGAGAGGAATCATAAACTGTACAAATAGACAAAAGATGTTGTACATCCACTTGTACTGGGGGTGAGGATAGGAGGCGATGTCCACACACTGATAGAAGTCCTCTTTAAACGGTCCTCGAAGCACGCTGAATACAAGAAGCTGAAAAAAACCAAAATCATAAATAACATTCATTGATAATACATTTTTTTAATGTAAATTGGTTATTTTTATTGCAAAACAGAGTGAGTGCGTCAATTCAACAATGCAAGAATCTGTTGAAATTTGTTAAAACGCTAAAATTTGTGGTCGCTAAATAAACATTTTTACAGTACAGAAATAGAAATAGGTAGAAATGTGTACGGGTTCACATGTCTAGAACAGGGACCTTTTATTTTAATTAAACTGTTACTTTTTACCACAAAAGTGGCCAGGTGTTTTCTTCAAAAGCGGTAAAATGTAACCTTTTACCTGTAAACCTCGAGCGATGACGACAAAAGTCTGTACAGATAAAGACCTTGATGTAAAAATAATAAGTTGTTAATTAAGGATATGATAAACGGTGCAGGGGGAAATGTACTAATTTCTCCTTTTCTTATATATTTGGGCCTATTTCCTTTACTTTAGCGTTTTTGATTAATATGATTAACAAAAAAAATTTTAAAGTCGTTTCCATTTTATCTTAACCTTACGATACATGTCTCAATTCATTTGTAGCCGGTATGATATTCCATTTGTTTGGAGGCGCGAACGTAGACCGCGAAATTAAAACCGGATTCTAACATGATAATGGGACTTTAAACTATGATGACTGTAAAACCAGCAAGCTTTGATATTATTAAAATAGTTCCTTTCCGGTTTGTTCCCTATACTGCAAGCGCATTATATGGAAAAGCAAAAAAGAATGTTCATTTAAATATAACTGTGTCGCCAAATCAACACCAACACCTGCTAACTGGAAGAGCAATTGTGTTACTAGTTTAAGGGAAAATAGAGGTAAGATCAAAAGGTTGATTAATGAATGGTCATTTTGTTTATAGCAAGTTATCAATATTAGATAAGCTTAAAACAATAGGATGAAATACGTTTACAAATAGCAAAATCAAAATAACGCCGATAGTATTACTTTGAGATTGCATATATTGGATTTTGGAGCAGAAATGGTGTCGCAAGTTGCAGCGTTAAGTTCTGGGATGTCTATAAGATGTAGGAAATACTTAAGATTCTAATCAATCCTGTCTTCTAAATTTCAATCAAGTTTTGTGAAAAAACAAAACTTTTGTAGTTCTAGATAGTTGTAGATCGATAGACGAACAAATAAACAGCTAAATAATTAAAACTAGATACAGATAAAGAAGCTAAATGGAATAGGGCAAATTGTCTTGCGAATAACCCCCAGCAACAGGATTCCCTAAAAAACTATAATAAACACCATTGTAAAGTGCAAAAGGTCACAGTACGAGATTTTGGGACACACAACAAAGATTCTGACTCCGACCGCGGTGATCTTGACGGCTGATACAGGGTAACAAGTTCCTGTAGATACCGAGGAGCTGTTTCATTCAATGCCTTGTATGTGTATACCAGAATTTTGTACTGCGACCTGTATCGTACAGGTAACCGGTGCAACGAATAAAGCGCAGGTGTGATGTGCTCTCTCTTTCGAGTACGAGTAACTAGCCGTGCTGCAGTGTTCTGAACCCTCTGCAGACGACTAGTTAGTTTGTCAGATATACCACAGAGCAGGGCGTTACCATAATCCAACCGAGAGGTAACAAGTGAATGCACCAAAATCTTGCATGCATCTGCAGTTAGAAACTGCCGAATACAGCCGATGTTCCTGATCTGGTAGTAACAGGATTTGGCAATAGCGTTCACTTGTTTCTCCATGTTCAGAGAACTGTCAAAGTATACCCCTAGGTTTTTAACAGCTGGAACAGTCTCAATAGTTCTGGCACCAACCTTGAGCTGGAGAACCATTGTTTGCTGACACTTTGGGGAAAAGACGATTAGTTCCGTCTTTTCCTGATTAAGTTTAAGCATGTTGGCGTTCATCCAGATACTGATTTCTGTCAGACAAGCTTCAGACTTTCCGAGACTGTATTCCAACTGTCCTGTGGTTTTATGACCAAGTAAATTTGTGTGTCATCAGCATAGCAGTGATAGCGAAGGCTATGGCGACGACAAATCTCTCCAATCGGTTTGGAGTACATACAATATTTTCTTGGTCCTAACACCGACCCTTGAGGAACCCCGAAATCTAGCACTTTGTCATGTGAGGTGGCAGATCCCATGGCAACAGAGTTTATAAATGAGTTTTGTTTAATAGTACATTGATAAAACAAATATAAAATGTCCACATGTCACCAACGGTATGCCGAAAGAAAGTGAATACTTCGAGACGTGTGTGATAAACCTTCTATGAATCTAAAATAAAACAAGATCCAGATTTGTCAATTACAAGGAAATTGGTTTACAGTGCCCTCTTTCTGACGTCATATTTAGAGAAAGTACATGAAACAAAATATAATTCATAACATGGAAGAGCTTATTTCATGGTACATTTTTATGTCATGGCGGTATTACTGGAGAAAAAAACCCCACAAACACGAGAAGTGATGACACCGGAGTGAAACTAAACGAGACCAATCATTGAGCTTTTGTAGTGATCGAAACTATATAAAAAAGGATATAAAGGAAATATTTTCAAATGAAACGCTGCGGGTGACCAATAAAGCCCGTAGTCTTCATAAACCTGCTTCTCGAAACTCTGTGTGTCAGTTTGTCTGTAAGTAGTGGGCATATACAATATAAATTATGATATTCGGACTATGCTCTTGACTACCGAATCAACTGTACAATGTTTCAAATTTGGAGAAGCAGGGCTATCATCATAAAGAAAGGGAATGTTCACAATCAGAAAATATGTACTTATCGTACAGCTTAGTAGTAATATAAGTCAACGTGCTGGTTATGTTCCGAGTAAAGCACTAGGAATGCGGCGAATGTAGAAGTGTCTGTTTTTTTTATTGGTATTGATTCTGGTTATATACAATCTAGGTCAACAACGTTTTTGTTATACTGTATACAATCTAGGTCAACAACGTTTTTGTTAGAAATTGATTTTAAAGCACATCGTCGATATATCTGAAAGTGAAATTGAAGACTTGGCAAGGTTTTTATTGCCAATCCTAGCAAGTTCTATAATAAATTCAGCCTCAAAAGACGATATAAGAAAGTCTACTAGGAATGATGATTTAATTGGTGTAGGACAAACAAAACCACCAGAAATTCTTAAGATGAATTGACGGAGATGCAAATCAGACTGGAATCGACTGTATAGGAAAGAAATTGTTCGTTTGTGTTTTTTTTTTCTTTTCTTGTTTTTTTTCTCTCATTTTTTTGTTTTAAATAATAACTTACTCTGACGCATGGGTAAAAATATTATCATAAGACACTTAATCCGGGTGTCATTTGACCAGAGCACCCGGCTCTCCTGATATTTTTCGGAAAACACTAATTTCATCTTAGACGTTCGTCTAGTTTTGCACAAAATGTGCTCTAAAATAGCTTACAACAATATATCTGCATCACGATGTGCCTTTTCTTGAAAAGAAATCTCCCATAATCTGAGAACGAAGGCATTGATTTAGGTAAGGTTTGTATGGTAATTGGAATTGGAAAAATTTGGAAAATCCAAACGTCCTTTTAAAACACACGTCTTCGATGCAAGGATGTACGAAAATAATAAAAAAAAAGTTCTTCAAAAACCCTATAATAACATTAATGCCACTTTTGAAGTATATAATGGGACAATAGGACTGTGATACTGATTTAAAGGAACTGAGCATGGTAGTAAGAAGTTGGAATACTGACCAGCAACTCCCAGAGCCTGCGATAATACGCCGTGTTGAGTAGCTCGTACAACCACAGATTAGCAAACGGTACCACTAGCAAAAATAACCTTATGTATAAAGTATCTTGTGTAAGCCTGGACGCGTTAACAGGACAACATACAGAATGTCATCAGCATTAATTTAAACAGAAAATGATGACACTCTCACGTGTTAAATTTCCTTAGATCGGAACACCATGACCTTGGTACAATGATTTATTGGTATTTACAGCGAGAGTGCTTTACAGGAATGTACGTCAATAATGCATTATCATGTGTGTAATCTCTTAACTAAGCTGAAATGATCGATAACGTCGACGTCATTCTGATAATAAAGAAAGATACGATAAAATTAGAGCCTAGGACGTCGGGAAATTTATGGTAATTCTTTTGCTAGCTGTGGCCATGTTTAGCATACTTGGTTATCATTAGAAAGCTGTGCATCAATGATATCTAATAACAACTCATCCATTATTTCATTTTTTTTTGCCTAAAGAAAAAATGTGCCAAGAGAAAATTATAATGTAAAAATAGTTCATTGATTACGTAAATGTTTTGAATTTGAAGTTCTTGACGTCATATATTTCACATGTCAATTTGGCCTTTTTGTTTTAATAGTGGACCGTCTAGATTCATTCGACATTTTGAGAACGAGTATCACCATCTTTTGATTTTTAATTGATCAACGAGAATATACCACAGTGTCAACAAAAACAGACAAAATATACCTCAGTGTCAAAACACACAGACAAAATATAACACTGTGTCAACACACCATGACAAAATATACCACAGTGTCAATACATCATGACAAAATATACCGCAGTGTCAAAACACACAGCAAAATATACTACAGTGTCAACAAAAACAGACAAAATATACCTCCGTGTCAACACACACAGATAAAATATACCACAGTGTCAACACACCACGACAAAATATACCTCAGTGTCAAAACACAAAGAAAAATATACTATAGTGTCAACAAAAACAGACAAAATATACCTCAGTGTCAACACACACAGACAAATTATACCTCAGTGTCAACACACCAATACAGATAGAAAAATACCTCAGTGTCAACACACCATGACAAAATATACCCCAGTGTCAACACACACAGACCAAAATATACCTCAGTGTCAGCACACACAGATTAAAAAAAAATACCTCAGTGTCAACACACCAAAAACAAAATATACCACAGTGTCAACACACATAGACAAAATATACCACAGTGTCAACACACTATGACAAAATATACCAC